CCTGGTGAACCGGCCGGTCCCGATCCCTCGCTCTCCTCCGAACATCCGAGAGTCCCACAGACGAACGTTCCTGGCACTTTCGTTCCTTGCCGAGGACGTCTGAATTCAATCTCCTCCCTCAAGTTCCGAGCTCTTCCTCTCTCTTTCGAGTCCCGAATTCTTCTACCTGGCCTTTCATCTTCCCTCATTTTCGACACTCTCGCCATCATCCCCTCTCTCTACTTTCCCTCTCTTCCACCCTCGATGTCTCTCCTAATTCGCTACCACTCTTTCGCTCAATCTATTTCTCCGATCGCCACAAGCACAAAGACCTTGCTTGGCCCATTACAATTATTTATTTTTAATTTTAATTCTCGGAGCCTAAAATATATTATTGTTCAATTAAAAATAATTTTTGTGATATTTAATACACTGTATCAAAGGTTTGATACCTTTGACACTTTAATACTTAATACTTGCAAATTATATTAATGCTACCAGACGATCGTTTCGGCTTTACATCAAGCCCTCTTCAGTCTTTTGTAAAATATTACATACGTGTCGCTTCACCTTCGTGTGTTACATACATAATTGTCAGATGCTGTGTCTAATTATCACAGCGAATAATTAGACACAGCATTTGACAATTACATATGTATATAACATACGAAGGTGAAGGGACATGTACTTATGTAATATTTTATAAAAGTCCAATGAATTTAATTAGTGACCAATGAATTTTATTATTAAAAACAAATCTCAATACACATAATAATTGTCAAAATATATAATGACAGCTGCTCAACGAAGTAAGCATAATGAGATAAGCAATTAGCATCACGAAAAAGCGGCAACAAATAATTTCGAGAAATGCGAGTTATTGACTTAACGTGCCTATTTTTAGATAGGATAATAATTCTATTTCTCTCTTGTATAAAGGTAAGATTCTGAAATTTTTTGACTGTTGATCAATTACTTCTTTTATTCTGATAGCATTTAATATTTGATTTTTATTTTCTCTATTCTTATAGTAATTAATTCGATACTTTACGCGATCCGGCGAGTTTATATCAATCGCGACAATTTGCTTAGAAGTAGAATACGTACCGAGAGCTTATCACTGATTATTTCTATTTTTTAGATTAATGTTTTATTTCTCTTATATTAAGGTAAAGATTCTGAAATTTTTTAACTTTCCATTAATTACTTTTTTTATTCTGATAATATTTAATATTTGGTGTGTTCATTTTCATTACTTTTATTTATAGTAATTAATTCGCTTGGTTATTTTAGTGAGTAAAAAATGTTGGTACTTCTTGTGCTGCAACTTCAGATCGTTCTAGGACTAGAAGATCGGCGCAGTTCTAACGGACATACGTGTACGTACAATCGCATCACACAAAAGTAATTTTCGACGAAAAGAAAAATGGATATATATAATCAGGAGAGTCACGATGATCCCCAATTTACAAAAGTACTAGAAACCTGTTTGAATATGGAAATTGCGACGATCAAGAGAAATCTCGACGGTAAGTAAAACGTGACGCATCGTAACACGATTTAACGCAAATTCCAAACCTCCGATAAACGAGGAAGAAATCTTAAAACACTTATTCTTACGTTTCTCTTGCTTGTGATCTTCAATTATTTTTTGCTATTGCTTGTTAAAAAAAGAATTTCGATAATTTCTAGCCAGTACAGAGGAAATAAAACAACTGAAAGTAACAATGCGTAGCGAGCTTAACAGGAGGAAGGAACTTAAAGGAAAGATGGCGCAGATGAACAATATTAAATTCATATTAACTGAGACTTTAAGAAAGTACGCGCAACAATTACTTATTCTTGTTACACGGAAAGAATGATTTTGTTGAAAGAGCCTCAAACTGAATATACCTGAAAATAATTCTGTTCTACCACCATCAAATATTGTGTATAATTATCTTGGAAATTTAAAGTGTTGTTAAAATGTTAAAATTTTTTGCAGATATTGCTCGTCAATATTGAATTTCCAGTGCTGTTATTTTTATGGTCTAACAATTATTTTCAGATCCATATCCAGCTAAATTTTAGAATCTTTCAACAAAATCACTCTTTCCGTACATGACTATAATAACCATTTTTGTATTGCATTTTTTTTTATCTCACATATCGGAATTTCGTTGTGCAGATTGCGTATAAATATCAGCGAAATTTCGGATACTATAGAAACTATGAAGGCAAATGCCGACGATCAATACAAGCTGATTCAACTGAGGTCGCAAGAGTATCAGGACCTCGTTGCCGAATATAGGAAAACATGGCATGAATATCGTGTTAGTAATAGTAACAAGTATCGAATTTACCCGTACAATTTCAGAAATTTAATCGAATAAATGTGATTGTGTGTGCAGGCTGAGTACGAAGAATTTCCATCGGCGAAGGCCAGGAACGAGGCCAAGATCAAATTAGAAAAAGTGAAAATTGAGTATATGGTCACGTCTTACAAGAAAACGGAGATAATAAAGATTATCAAACAGAGACGGCGCATTAATTGGATTCGCATGCGCTGCAAGATAGTCGATTTCGCCACCGTAATGTCGGAACGTTTGAAATTGGAAGAGAAACTTTCGAATCTGAAAGTAAATGTGAAATATCACAGAAGAGAATTGCAGTCGATTGAATCGGAGGTCGTTGGATTATGTTATAAGTGATATTTTTCAATGTATATAGTATATTAAACGTGTAAATAGATATCTAAATTCGCGTCGACTTTCGCAGCTGCAAGTATTACGCAGGAAGGAGGAGGATCAGAAAAAACAGAGGAAACAGAAAATGCTGGAAATGGCACCGCCGAAGATCAATATACCGTTTCGAGAATTATACGCTCAAAATCAAATGCGCGCGAGAATGCAGCATCAGTGGAAGCAGGCTCACGAGCCCAGTGACGGTGAAAATTCATTTTACACTTTACAGTACCTTGTCCCAGATACGGGACAAGGACTTTAAATTCACGAACACGAATGCATATGCATGCGATGCGTTCTACGTGTGCTGAAGTCATTTGCTTTTTAGATACCATATCCGTCAATACCTTGTTCCTTGAAGAATTATGCATAAACGAGAACGCTATGGAGTTGCCCGAGGAAATTATAGATATAGAAGAGATACACGACGATGCTTGTAAACTTCCCGCGATCGAAACGGAAATGTCTAATATCAAAAATACCGTCTCTTCGGAAAAAGATGACGCGCGCGACGTTTCGGTAGCGATGGATGCGGAGCCAAGTGCTGAAAAAGTGATGACTGTAACGACGGAAAACGACGTAGAAATGAAAGAGACCCATCACGAGAAGACACAGAAGTCGCAGGAGTCCGTTAGAACGCAACCAAGCTGCCGTATAAAAGAGAGCCCGCTCAAGCATAGCGCCGCCAAGAATACGCAGGACGAAATTGCGGCAAAAAGAATCCGACTTCAAAGGCAGGAGAGTAAGGAGAGTATCAATAAAATAACTACCATTCTTCTACCGTCGACTGTGAAAGAGAAGGATTTGAAATCCACCCATCCATCTCCGCATCCGTCGATTCCACAGATTAAAAAGATAGAAACCGTAAATTACAACATTACGCAGTTAATGCCGATACCGAAACCCATTCCCCTCCGCTCGACTGCCACCGCGAGCAGTATGTTTTCGCCAATGCGTTACGAATATTGCGATAGCAACATGAGTTCCTTGGATCAGGATTTTGTATCAAAAGGTAATTATAATTAAGTTTTGTTCGTCTTTTTTTTAAATAAAAAGATTAGACACGTTTAATTAGTTAAACTAGGTAAATTATATGTATATCTCTTTTTAAAGTAACTAATAATAACTTCGCGAAGTTTATAATAAACTTTATCGCAGGTCAACCATCGTTATACGAGGGATCGTTGTGTAATTATAGATTATCTCCAACTTCCAATATGTCCTTTTGCATCGAGGAAAACGCGCGGATGGCTTCTTTCACGAAATCTCCTGCGCAACAGGATAATAAAATAGAATCTGACGACAAGACATCGGGTATTAAAATTTTCTTATCTCAAATATCCGACACGGTTAATTTCACGGTTTTAGATCTCTTTAATTTTTAATTTTATCCTTTTCAGCGTTCCAGTTTAGTGCTTTCGTGAAGAAGGCAAAGGATAGTAATTTATTTTGAAGAGAGAAGAAAGGAAAATTATTTGAACTATTTGGTTCTTATATATAATCCAACATAATTTCACTAATGTGTTAAAAAATTTTATATATTATATTAATTAAGTTCTGTTAATATTAATCAAGCAAATTATTTTTTGTTACAAGAGTCAAATTTTGTTAACATTATGTTAATTAAGCAAAACATTAATTTTTTTATTTCTATTGTATATTTCTAATCTATTAGAAATTTCATGAAGAAGACAAAGGATAGTGATTTTTTTTATTTTGAGGAGAGAAGAAAAAAACATTATTTAAACTATCTGGTTCTTATATATAATCCAACATCATTTCACTAATGTATTAAAAAATTCTATATATCATATTAGTTAAGTTTTATTAATATTAATCGAGCAAATTATTGTTTATTACAAGAGTCAAATTCTGTTATCATTATATTAATTAAGCAAAATATTAATTTTTTATTTCTATTATTATATTTCTAATTGTATTCTAATTGTATTTCTAATCCATTAGTTAAATTCTGTTAATATTAATCAAACAAAATACATTATTTTTTTTATTACACGAGTCAAATTCTGTTATACATTATATGTTAATTAAACAAAATATGTTATTTCTATTATTGTATTTCTAATCTTCAAAAATTAAAGAATAAAACTACTATAATTTCTGTATATATTGTAAAACAAACCTGTTCAAACTTTCATTATGCGTTACTTGAGGTATTGCTTGAGATTGTGAGAATGATTAGCAAGGAGTTAACAATGTCTATGTACTCTCGCAAAGCCAACAATGATTATGTACTTCCGAAGTAATTTTAGATTCTTACGAGAAGTTAAATGGCTAATATGCATTTTGTGTACAGGTGCATCTCCAGCGCGTAGATATCAGCGGCGACAACTTCGCGGCATGTATTAAATAAATGCTTGCTCACTGAATTGCGATTATGTACTCTCCGCGAGTTTCGGTCTCCTTTATGCGTACATATACTCGCGCCCCTTCCCCCTCTCTTCCTGCGCCCCGTACAATTTTGGCTCCTGCAATTTCGCTGGAGAGCGCGCCGAGCGAGTTACAGCCGTTTACTTCCGCTGGGGGAAACGGGACCGTAGGAGAAATAAGACAGAAAGGAAAAGAGAGACCTTTCTCATGTGCTCTTTCTGTCCACGAACAGTGGAAAAAGTGGAGGAAGTGCTCGGCTTTTATAAAAATAAGCTCGTTAAAATCCCACTTTCTGCACTCGCTTTGCGGAACATTGTGACTTGTGTGTAATCACACCGCGGATAATGCACGATAATGTTCCGCGATGCTTTACAAGCTTTTTAATTACTTCTGAAATTCTTATTGCGTTTCCCACCTAATGCCCCGGTGGCACGCAAGTTTCGTTTCATTCCGGGAGAACGTTAATTTGAAAAGCAGGAAGGGAGAGCGTTAATTTTAAAAACAGGAAGGGAGAAATGCGATATTTTATAAATATCATTATACATTTCATATCTCGCATACTTTTTGGTTCTAAATTGAGAAATAACAAGGCAATTTGTCTCGTCTTATATGGAAATTATTTTATATATGTTCCGATTTGTACGTTTGAAAAATTGTTCTTTCGTCCAAACAACATCTAATTAGGCGACGAAGGAATATAGAAAAGAAGATTCTAGCGCGGAGTTGTTAGTTGGACCGACGCGTTGCCAATCCTACTTCGGTTATAATTGATAGAAAAAGTATCAAGCACGCGATATGAGAGGGGCAACTTCTTAATCCGCCCCTTCGCTGCCCCCCCCCCCCCGGGTCTAATCGCATCACAGTCAGTGTAATTGATATAAATTAACCCGCTCGCTCAAGCGTTTCATTTGTGTCGCAAGGAAGAAGAATACGAAAGTTTGTTATTACCTGTCGTAACTTTGGCGAGCCACCTTTTCACCGGGGAGCCGAGAGGCTTCTAGTCGAGAGAAATTGTGTCCTTTTATAAGCCAATGTAACAGTGGGTGGTCGACTATCAAGCTATTTTATTTCAAAAGTTTCGCATTGAGGTACGAGGAAGATAAATGGGACATTTAATGGCGCAATCGTCGAACTGACGTCTTCCGCCGCGTGAGTGGACTTTAATCGATAATATCATTCAGAAAATTCTTAGTCAAGTCGCACTTCGAATAATCGTTCCCCTATTGCCCGTGAAATATATTATTGTATTACGGATTATACGCTACGCTCTCAATTTTGTATCACACGTAATTTTTATATTGTCTTATATAATTTATCTCAGACATATTATAATATTTAATATTTATATTCCACCGTGCGAAAGCATTTTTCGAACACGAAAAAAATCGATATGTGAATGTAGAGACGAAATCTAGCGTAGAATTACGTTCCGTCCTGTGAGATTAAGTTATTTGCATTTTTTAATGCACATTTGAAGTTTGCAGGAAGTCATTTCGGTAGCGCGGTGCAAGATGAAATTTTACTATTATCTGAAAATCATATATTTCCATATAAAATTGGTCGCTGAATCCGAAGATGATAAAATTAAAGCAACTGGAGCAGAACGAAATTTCATCTTGCACCACGGCCGAAATGACCTCCTTTCAAATGCACATAAAAAATCTCAAATAACTTGATCCCGCCTCGCGGAACAAATCGCACTTCTATGCTAAATTTCGTCTCTACTTTCACACTTTTTATTTTTTCGCGTGTAAAAAGAAATTATTCGATTACACGGTGTTGTAATAAACAAAAGGGAAAAAAACTAACTCAAATTAATCAAGGAGATTTTATATTTTTATTTTACAATTAAAACAGAAGAATTAAGCAGTTAAATAAGCAAAATTATAGTTTATAAATATATGATTAAAAAATTGCGGCTTTTCTCGTCCGATTTCGATGTGACACAAACGCATTGCGGCCTCTTTTTGCAGGACGATTTTTCTTTCTGGCCCGCACAATACCTGGCTTTACGGATACGTGACTAGAATGTTTCGCTCGCGTCCTCGCGTACTTACGAGACTGGGAGATAACTCGCAATGTTCTTCAAGCAACCCTTTCCAGCGAAACTCGGCGTTACTCGACCGAAAGTGGGAACTTAGTACGCTCGTAATGTACATTTATTAACTCTGAGCAATGCCGCGTATATTTCGTTAACGAGGCGAATTCGCCTCTCCTCTCGCAATCGAATGTTCTTACACCAATGAACGCATTTATGTATTGCGCCCCGTTCTTACGCCGCAGGTGGTAATTTAGGTTAATTACTCCCTGCACGTAGTTAATGGTGTCTTTATAACTTGTTTAAGGTCTACTGCCTGTAACGGGATTGTGCTTCCGCATATATGTCAATTAACGCGAATAAACGGTAAGATTTATGAATCGCGAAATTATAATTGACCCTCTTGTAATAGCGTCGCTTTTAGACAATATCCCAAGCTACTTTTCTTACAAAGTGCCCAAAATAAATAACAGGTGCAGTCATTTATCATCACTGAACAAAGATGAAACGCAACAAATTGAAATATTACGTGCTACGTCGTACAAAAATTGCTTACTTCTACAAACGCGAGATATATAAAGCCTTTGCGGAGAATTTATTCCGTCAATCTGGAATTTATATGATATATGTATATGCAATATATATATATACATATATATATATATATTAAAGTTCCATAATATGCGTTTATGAATTTGAAAATGAAAGAGAGAGACAGAAAAATATATAGACATATAGAGAGACAGATATATATATATGTATATATATATATTGCATATACATATAAACATTCCAGATTGACGGAATAAATTCTCCGCAAAGGCTTTATATATCTCGCGTTTGTAGAAGTAAGCAATATTTGTATATATAATGTATATATATATATATATATATATATATGTATATATTTTTTAAATCTGTTTTTCTATCTCTCTTTCTCTTTCATTTTCAAATTCATAAATACATGTTATGGAACTTTAATGTCGATCAACGAGCAGGCATTTCGAAGTAGCGACGCGAACGAAATCAGAAACATTCTCGTTTCGCGTCCGCGGCAAAGAGTCCATTGTCGCTCGTGCAAATAAAGGAATGTCCACGTTGCCAGAAGTAATTTCCTGCCGCGCCGTCGCGCGTATACGCACCGTGTATAAACGCATCTCGTAACTTGGGTTAATTACGCCAAGCATATACGCGATGCCTGGATTTTGGAAAGGGATGGCTTGGTTGGTTGGTTGGCTGGTTGGTCGGCTGGTTGGTTGGCTGGCTGGCTGACTGCTTTTGCACGAAGTGCCACCGAGGTGAAAAGGGGATGTACAAGGCAAGGGCATTCCATCGTGCACTCGGGGAGGGGGGGATTTAGGCAAAAACCCCTGGTAGAGATTAAACGACTACGACGCTGATGGTCTTGCCGGAGTATTCAGTAAATTCCGGCAGCCATGGAAACGTACGTCTGCCGTGTATTTTGGCGAGCGTTTTATTGTGCGCACGTGGCGAGGGTTGGTTTTCTTAGGGTGAAGAGCCGGTCGTGGATTTACCCGCGGGACCCTTCTCGGATACCGTACGCATCTGCTTAAATTGTAATTGACAGTCGGGCGAATTCTACACAGTACAGTTCTAAGCAAACTGTATTAATGAAAGCAAGGCGAAAATTTGATTATCTCCGAAAGGAAACCGTCTGAAAAATTGTTAAATTTGATCTTGTTAAATACTTTCAGTATACTTTAGTTAAAAGGCATTAATAAAAAATGCTCTTAGTTATTTTACATTAATCTATTCTCACTGTCAAAGCTCCAACAAGCTGTGTTAAGACAACAGATATTTATTATGAATCTCGTTTTTATAAACTCCAAAAATACTTTTAATTTTTTCGGAGGAAAAATCTAAAATTAAACTTTTCGGTTTATTCAACATTTAAACAAATATGATATTTCTACAAATTATAAATGATCATTGCACGAGCGCTTAAATTTTGATAGGCAGACGCGGCAGTTGGCACCTTTTAATGGATATGCCGAGAAAGAAAAATAAATCGCGCGAAATTAGACGATGTCGAGAAAAGGTGGACACGTATACGTACGACTAAGGGACGAGCCCGTTTTTTTGTCAT